TCAAATAAATAAATAAAATCTTAAAAATAAATAAATAAATAAATAAAAAAGTAAAGAGATAACATTATTCTATTAAGAGTTATGAAGGAAGCAAACAAGGGAAAGAGACAATGAAAAAGAATGGGGGTGGGAACCTACATTACTTGGGAGAGGGGGCATCCAGAAAAGCCACTCTGAGGAAGTGACATTAAACTGAGACGTTAGGATCAGAAAGGGAGAAGAATATTCCAGGCAAAAGAAACAGCATACATATAGGACTCTAACTCAAGAGTTTGGGGCATTTCAGGAACTGAAAGAAAACTATATGGCTAGAATATAAAAGAGAATGGCATGAGATGAGGCTTAAGAGATAAAAAGAGTTAATAAGGCAATGCAGGACTTCAATGACCATAGTAAGTTTGGATTTTATTTAATGTTGCACCAAAACTCCTCTTCAAGTTAAATCCCTATACCCTTCTAATGCTTTTCATGATACCACTCTGATCCCTCTCATTACACTGGTCATCTTTTCTATGTAGTATAGTCTAGCACATTTAAAATGCAATGTTAAACACCAACCCTCGTTCTCCAAAGTAAAGACCAGTAAAGGGTAGAGAGGAACTACCACTTCATCCTAAATACTATGCTTTAATCAGTGGTCTCAAATTGAATGAACTCTTTTCTGACAGTTACTTCACAACACTGACAGATACAGAACTTGCTATGATACTAAAACCCCCAAGCCTTTAACACCTGCTATTCAACAGCCAAAACTTTTGCTCTAATCATGCCCCTCCCGAAGTCTTCTTAAACCCCCACCCACACCCCCGGCAGGTAACCTATTCAAAGCTTCCCACTTCAAGATCCAAGACCCACATACTGCCAACGAGGCCTGACTTTCTTATGGATACTGATAACTGATTTATGCCTAGTGCCAGCCAGAGATGGTCAACATGGTAGGAAGGAGAATTTCGTATCAGAAAACACAGCCAAAATTTTCCAACTTTTGGATCACTACTAGATTTATACAACCTAAATTCAGGTATTATGTTACTCTATTATAAAGTGACATTATTAACAAGGTTAACACTCATCCCTACAGTTCCCCAAGCTAAAATCTCAACTTCTCCTTTCTTCTCACCTCCACATACCCACTCAATCACAAAATCAAACCCTAAATATTTTTCTCCAATACTCTCTCTTTCCTGTCACTCTCCTAATTCATGCCACTATAATCTCATCTACATGAATGGAACAAACAGCTAAAATGATTTATAAGATCCTCAGGCTCTGGCGTTTACTCAGCGCTCTGGCCTCATCTTTAAATTTGGTACCCTCTGTCCCCCAGTATGCAGACCTGTGATATTCAACTACTCTGTTCTGTGATTACATCATGTTTTACATCCTTCCATCTAAAACATTTCTCCCTCAAATATGTCCTTCTCTTTCATGCTAATGTTCACTCATTTGTCAAGCTTAACACACATACTACTTCCTCCAGAAAGTCTTCCCTGAACCCTAACCAACCCCTAGTCTGAATGAGGGACCCTTCTTCCCTTCCTGGGATCTCTCAAAGCACCTTGTACTTCATTTTAGTTCTTGAGTTTTATTGCCATTTACTGGTTGGCATCCTTCACAAGACTATAAACTCTCAGATACCCAGGAATAGCCTGTTGTGTTCACTACTTAACTATCAAGCAACTAGCACAGTGCTCAGAACTTTGATACCCAAAATATATTTGTAGGGAGTGAAAGCAAGTAAGAGTATGTGTGTTCAAATGCACATAGGTGAATAAATATAAGACACCAGATTTTTGGAACGTGAGAAAGCCCTGTCTTCCACACCTATAATAATTTTATAAAGGCCTTAGATTTGCTGGATTTAAATATGCAACAGTACAAATAAAATTCTATCTTTAACAGACAATATGTAATAAAAGGTTAATTACATAAATATATAATCCATAAGTTATTGATGTATCATCATTCATTTAAATGTGTATAAAAAATATTGGACCACTCTTTTCTTTAGAACAGCAATAAGGTGATAAGTTGCAGATCCAAAGTACTAAAATGGCAAAATTTTATTCAATCATTCATCCAAAGCAGTCAATATCCCAGAAAGAACAAAGTTCCTTGTGCCCTCATCTGCACACAGGTCACTAATGCCCAATGACAAGTAAAAACTGTTTGCCTTGGGACCAATACAATAATCCAGTTTCAATAAGTAGAAAATAATTTGATACTTACTCACACAATACCACATATTTTTCAAGAGAGTCAATCAGTAGTTTGCTATCTCCTTGATGAAAGTGCAGAGCAGGGAGAACGACGTCATCCTTTAGACAGAATACCAAATACGACCAGCCCATACCCTCTCTGTTTTGCTTGATTGATTTCAGGTCTGTCAAACTGAACAGGAATGACCATTTGCTTTTCCCATTTCTATGACTTGGAGCATCTTAAAAACAAGAAAGTGGGGCAAAATATTTTTGTTCACCTTTTTAAAAGGTACTGATAGCGCTCTTCATGACTGCCTAACAGATACTTGCTGAACCTCGGGAATGACTATAGCATTCATATTACTATGGTTTCTACCTGTATTAGAAATGGCAACATATATTTTCTTAAAAGAATAGTTTTGAAAATAATCATCTTATTGCATACAGAGGGAAAAAATATTATCCCTATTTCAAATAAAAGCTTGCCCAAAAATGACTATGGCTTTGGAAGCAGGCAGGATGGATTCAAATTACAGCATCACCATCTTACTAAATGAATGATCTAGGGCAAATAACTGAATCTCTCTGAGCCTTGGTTTCTTCATCTGTAAAAATGGAGATAATTATACTTACCTCCCAATGTTATTCTAAGAATTAAAAGAGCTAATACTTGTCACCTAACTAGTATAGTGCCAATTATATAGCAAATACTCAAAAAATGTTATTCTTTTCCACTGCCCACTCCCCACCCCCGCCAAATACGAATGGCATGATGCTCTTGGAGAGTCATTAAAAGTAAAACAAAAAACCTTTACTTCCTCACTTCCTTTTGCAATTATTTTTACTAGACTACCCTGAGTGAAGGTAAATAACACTGGTATAAAAAAATAACATTGGAGTAAATATACCAACAGACATTTTATTTACAAAAACCCAAAGAGCAGTGAGGAGTTGCGGATGAAAATATAACTTAAGTTGTGAGTGCTTCAAAGAGAATGAATACAGTGCTTGCTTGAGCAACACATACACAAAATTGGAACAATACAGAGATTAGCCTGGCTCCTGTGCAAGGGTGACACGCACATTCGTGAAGAGGTCTGTGTTTTTTTAAGAACAGAATGAATACATTCAATCTTCCTACTAAATCCATCTACTAAAGTAAGACCTCAGTTCAACCCAAACTACAGTAACATAAAATAAAGTATTTTCTGAGGTTGTGGGCTATTTATGGAAGCTTAAAAATCCTAGGCTTGTGAACAATATCATACCTGATAACAAGCAGCATAAAAAACATATGAATAAAAATGTAAAGAACAAAGGGAAAAATATTACTTTCCCACTACTACTTATAATTTCTATCCAAAAATGCCATTTTGACCTGTTTTAACTTGGACATAAGCATGTCATGTCTGTGAAATTTTAAAAATCCATTTCTCTAATGTTATTTCCTAAGAAGTGTTGCACTATCCTGTTATTCAAGATCTTAGTTCCATTCCACGCTATCAACTCCACAAACTAAACTGCATAGAAGATATGTGCTTATAGAACTTGATCAAAGAGTAGATCAGTGTTAACCTGCATATATGTCACCTTCCTATATAGTCAGGAACACCATAGCTCCATCAGCTCCAACAAGGATCTCCTAAATTGACACAAAGAAATCTACAGCTTACAGAACCTCTACCTACCAGGAATACAGGCACCATCACTATTTCATGGACACTTAAGTATCATTTGAAAGAAGTCCAGAAAGGCTAAAAAGTAATTTATCTCCACAGTGACCTGCCTAGGTTCCACACCAGTTCAGATGGTGAACTCATATCTAAGGCTGATACTAGATTAAGTGCCATGTGCCAACTTGACTACCATACATCATATTTCACTAGAATTTATATCATAGAGCTCATAACACCACTACAAGCTAATATCAAAATGAAAACAATTCTAGAATTTCAGTGTCTCCCTGAATCATTTACATGTTAATGTATTTAGGACTACTAGATTATTTGCAAAGACCAAAAATATTTTCAAAGCAACGAAAAACTAGATATAGACAGTTTTTAAAATTAAATTCTTAAATTACATAGAAAGACTTAATCTAAATTAATGCATGAAAATCATATGGAGAATATAAATACATGCAAGCTATACGAACTTTCAGGAGTTTGTGCATATTCAAAAGTAAAATTTTTACACAGATTTTCCCATGTTAATGGAAGAAACACATCACATATGGAATAGAAAATGCCTTACACATTTCCTCACTTGAAGCTCTGATAAACAATGAAAGAAACATTACAAGTCAATTCTGGAAGCCCCTTTACTTGAATATAGTAAGCTTCATGAGAACAAGAACTTTATTTTGTTCATAATTATATTCCCAATGCCTAGAAGGGTAAATAACACATAGTAGGTACTCAAAGATGCATTGAATAAATGAATAACCTAGTACCAAGTCAACATAAAAGAAACCTGCGATTTAGTCTACTACCAATAGCTAACCAGAAATAGAAAGGGTTACACAAAGGAAACCTAATGAATCCAAGAGTTAACTCAGAATTTCCTTTTCTCTCTTGAAGAAAGGTAAATAAAACTAACTAGTTCTGGGATGCCTGGGTGGCTCAGTTGGTTGAGCATCTGCCTTTGGCTCAGGTCATAATCCCAAGGTCCTGGGATCAAGCCCCACATCAGGCTCCCTGCTTAGCAGGAAGTCTGCTTCTCCCTCTCATTCTCCCTCTGTGCCCACACGCTCTCTCACTCTCTCTCTCAAATAAATTAATAAAAATCTTTAAAAAAAAAACAACACATTAGTTTTGATGAATGATGTTACCAAATACACGTAAGAAGTATCCCCAACACAATGACATGGGAAAACTAACCATAATAGCATAAGTGTAAAACTAAAACAGTTCAGTAAGTCCCTATATGTCTTGAATAGAATTAACACTGAGAACATGACATTTTATTTGGATGGGTGTACAGAACATGATGAGAGTCTGTTGTTCTGGTAAGAAACATTTTCAAAACATTTGATCTGCTATATAAAAACAAAGACTTCATAATAGAAACTCTTAAAAAGTATAAGGAAAGTTAAGTCTTTGATAGTCAATTTTTTAAGTTTTGTCCCAATTTCCTTTGTCGAACAAAAAAGTAAAAAGTAGGGGCGCCTGGGTGGCTCAGTCATTAAGCGTCTGCCTTCGGCTCAGGTCATGATCCCAGGGTCCTGGGATCGAGCCCTGCATCAGGCTCCTTGCTCAGAGGGGAGTCTGCTTCTCCCTCTGCCTCTCCCCTCTGGCTTGTGCTCTCTCTCTCGCTCACTCTCTTTCTCTCAAATAAATAAATAAAATAAAAAAGAACTGGCAAATGTGTTGAAAGAGAAAGGACTGTCTGAAAGTTTAAATATGCACATAATGATTCAGAGTGAGCTTTAAATCATAGGCTAGACTGATGAACTGGGAATAAGAAGGGTACCTGGAAAGTCAGTCTAAGTTTTCTTTTCAAGTCGGAGAAATTACTTAAAAATAGAACCAGTCTTCCAAAAAAAATGAAAGACTAGTTTATGTTACAAGAGCACCAGGAAAATAATTTAAAGGTAATTAACTTAAATAGTAAATATACTTCTTATGGGACATTTTTATAATTTCATAATAAATTACAAAAATGAATAAATATGAATGATATATTTAAAAATCCTATCTAGTTAGTTATTTTTCAAGTATGCAAAATGTTTTTACAAGGGAACTGGAATTTTTTTCCCCCATCTTTCTATATATTCACCAACACAACTGCAGTGAGTGTTTGAAATGACTAGTTTGAGTAAGTACAGAGCTCATGATTTTTCAATTAAAAAGATGAAAATAAAATTATTTTCCCATACCCTCATCTATTTAAAATAATCATCTAGATGCTCTATACTAATCTGTATGGGTGAGTTATCTGAATTTCTTTAATGAATACACAAAAGATCTTACTTACGTTTTTTGTTTTTGTAATTGAGTTCTTTCCTCCTTGGTACTGTCCCAAGGAAAATAACCCAAAAGAAATTTCCATGCTTGCTTTCTCAACACATGACTAAGTCCCTAAAGAAAATATGCATATTAAACACATTCGTAAAAAAGAATGCAATACTTTAAGTTCATAAAACTTGCACATAAATATACAGGGAAACTAATATTTAAGAGATAGTTTTATACATAAAATAGCTCAATTCAGTGAATACTAACTTGTTTTTTACCTCTAGACTCTGAAAATGCCAGAAAGCTTAAACAATGCAGAGTATACAGATTATATAGAAGGCAGCAGGACTGATTAGTTTGTCTAAGTCCAATCCTTATTAGATAAGGCAACTACCACTGGGGTACATACATGCCTCCTTCACATTACCCACAGAACTTTAGGTAAGGAAGACTATTCTTCCCTAGGCTTAATGGTATTCAGTCCCCACCTCCCCAACCAACCTTAAGGGATATCACAAGGACCTCACACTGTCCTACAGGATTTTAAGGCATCATTCATCAAAAAGGAGTTCATTCCATGACTACCTCCACACCTCCCACACAACACAAAAAATTTAAATATCAGCAGTTTCAAATATCCTCCATATTAAGGTATTTACCCCTCTAAATATCATCTGCTTCATATTATCTACATTTAAAATTCTTCCTTCAGAATCAATGTTCTTAGTCCATTCTTCCAGTGATACTGGCTCTCTCCTTTGAACAATAGGTCGTTCTCCCAAATCAATCTAAAAGAAGAAGATAAGCAATAAGGAGTACACTTTTAACCAGTGAAATTAAATCAAGGTACATGGAAACCATTAAAATACTATTTATTACTCAGGCATGAGTTCTAACATTTCTAATATCTTCCCTTATTTTCCAATGTTTAGTTTATGAACTTTAATAGCATTCCATACATTTTCCTTCCTACTAAACATACAAATAACAGGGTTATAAATTCAGAGACAGGATTACATTTGCTATCTTGAGTTTCAATTACGTAAGTACAAAACATTCGACATGTAAATTCCATAAGAGACCCTTCAAATTAAATGGTATGCTTTATTATTTAAAAAGTATTACTCCACTAATCATATTCTAAAATTAGCTTTTCTTCCAAACTACAATTTGTAGCTCTCAGAATTGATTCATGATCCACTAGCTCCACTTGGTATTTTCTACAGTTTTTTATTCAGTTAACAGGTGTTGGTAATTTAAAATGCCATTTGTAAGATAAACCCTTTAAATATTACAATTCAGATATTTATAATGTTTTAACTATGTACAGCCTAGAATTGTAGCAAATTCAAAAGTCTTGCTGAGCATATATAAAAATTTGCCATAATTCAGGGCCAAGATCCATCTTACTTAAAAAAGAAAAGACTCACATGAGCATAAAAGCCCTAGAGTAGTGTCCTGACTAGCTGCCTCTGGTCCCTACTGAGAAAACATATAAATTAGGAACAGAACTAAGAACAATATGTAAGGCTCACTATTCACTCACTGCTATGCACTCAATGAAACAAACAACCTGCTCATTATTATCAAAAAGTAATCAAAGAAAAGAGATCCAACTTATTAAACAGAAAGTATAAGTAGTAATCGACGAAGAACAACCCAAGAATTTGGTGGCAAAACAAGTATTAGTTGTTAGATACATTAGTTAGTAAAAAAGTTATAAGGATTATAAGAGGCAGATATAACCAAAATTGAGTTTCTATTTCTACAGCATTCAGTACATGTTTAAAAAGCATTTCTCCTGTTAAAATATAAAAGATATATTAATATAAATCTTCACTCACTCTTGTGATGACTTCAAATCCTGGTTCTTCTTGTTGATTTATCTTTAAACCTGGAATAGCATCACTAAGAAAATCTGCCATTTCTGAAGGCGGTCGTTGATGTGTAGAGGGATCACTGCCTCTCAAACTATCAAAAATGTAGTTTGTGACTTTGGAAAATCCTACCATAGTTGCTGTATAAGGATCCTTTTTAATTTTCTATGTAGTAAGAAGAAAAATATTAGCATTATTAATTCAAATGAAGAATAAAAATACCTTATGATGGGCAAAAGGGCCACGTTTTTTAAAGAGGGGAAATCAGAACTAAAACAGAGTGTTCTAAGATTATTTTACAATTTTATTTTTTTTCTGGGAAGAAAAATTTATATTTTCTAAGCCATTCTTTTCATTTGGTTAAAACAGAATATTACACGGCAAGGTAATGCTACTGATTGAATTGCAGATAAACAAATGATTTGCAGGCTTTATTCAATCTGCATACATCACAAATATATGCAGTGCTTACTTTCCACTGATGAATGGCCCACAACAGCTTTCTTCTGTCTAGCAGTCCTGCCTTTATAAAAAAAAATATTTCTTCAAGTGTTCAGAACCACACTAGTCTAACAGAAAATATTTGATAGCTAAGCTTTAAAGCTCACCATATTTAAGTATCAGCTGACATTTTAATCTAATTATATGATTAATAAATCATGCCAATGAGTGTAATTTGTTCTGGATGGTGCTACCCTGGAAAACAGCAAAAGGTTTTTCTATTGCTAGGGTTACTTCCAAATCCCAAACTGCCTACTTATTCATATTTAGCAAAAACAGTTACTTTTTTTAAAGGTCTTTTAATGATTATTTTCACAATAAAAACTGCTGCCTAATTTTCTACTTTAATCAGTATCTAGCTATCTTGTCCTCCTTCTTCAAAAGTTCCCCTTTTATCTTGTTATCTTCAGAACCAAGAAGAGGATACTTGGGACAGAGTAAGCACCCAAACATTTGTTGAGTGAATAAGTGAATCAATAAACAACCATTTCATTACTTTACATAAAAATTTGAGTGAAAAATAAGTTAACTTAATTTCTGCCTGTGTTAAGTGCATATTTTTAGCCAAATGTAAGAATATACTCAAACACTTTAGGGGGAATTAGATTATCATGCCCCAAATGAACCTACTTAAAATGGAAAATAAAAATTCAAACCATATTTTTGACTAAGTTTATCATTAATGAATTCAAAGTGGCTTACCCAGTGACCTTGCAACTAATCAGTAAAAGCTATGATAATAAAAATCTACTAATGTCCAATTTCAGTATTACAATAAAGGGAAACATTGCTTTAAGAGGAACTAAGAACCAAGGAAGCTTCTGAGTCTTACAAATAATATGAAACATATTATTTCTAAAAAATTACAGAAATTACAGTTCCATAAACTTTACACACAGAGACACTTGCCTTGTTCTGTATAATCTCTGAGAAAGTGAGAGAGAGGTAGGAGGTGTATGAAATAATGGTGTCAGATTAACAGATAAATACAAAATAGATTAAGAAACATACTTGTATTAAACCATATGCAGGTTCATCAAGAAGATTTTCAAAAGACTGTGAAAGACTCTTATTCTGACAATTCACAAGAAGTGTTCTTTTATCCTGTGGAGATCTGTAATAAAAGAAGGGATCCACAGAAAATAACTAGCACACTACATCAATTAGTACCTGAACGATTACTAATGCCTAGTTACTTTTCCTTAACAACAGTAACAACAACGAAAATCCCAGAACTCAAATGTCCAGTTCTAGAACTGCTTCCCATTAATACAATATTAGCAAGTACTTAGTAACTATCTTAAAGGAGCTCCAAAACTACATGAAACATGAAATACTAAATTGACAAATATAAAAGGGTTGAAGTGTATTTTTATTCTAGGTAAAGCCAAGAGGACTAAATTGTAATTAACCAAGTTTTTGTTTATAATTATAGTAGAAAAACCTTACAAATGTATGTCTTTATTATCATAAAAATTAAAGAAAGTTAAAGCACACTTTGGATTCATCAGTATATATAATATGTACAATACAGGAAAACACCTATTTTTGTTTTTTTGTAGTTTTTAATTCTATTATATTATGTTAGTCACCATACAATACATCGTTAGTTTTTGATGTAGTGATCCACGATCCATTGTTTTCGTATAACACCCAGTGCTCCATGCAGTACGTGCC